AATATTTCGGTCAATTGTTTCAAAAAAATCTTGTACTGACATTTTTATTATTCGTAGTAGTAGGTGATAAATAGTCAATGTCTTCATTTTTTATTATTTCTATATTTTATTGCCGTTTTTACCCTCACGAATAGTATGAAAGGAACTCTGTTGGTAGTATTAAGTGATGTGTAACGAAAGGTGAAAATCATGACAATAATAATTAGTCTAGTAACAAGGACATTTATATACTAGGAAGAAAAACAAATTTGAAAAAGTACAATCATATTTATAAATAGACAAAAAAGACAAACAGGGCAGTATAGGAAGCCAATAGGTTGAAAAAAAACATATGACATATGAAGTAATGAAAACCTCATTAAAATTTGTGCATCTGAATTACATTTACTAACGCCGAAAGTTTAATCAATGAAATTGAAAGATATGAACTTTGATGGGCTTTTCATTTGTCGTAAGTGTCATTGGTTTTGTTTTTATAGATTCAAATATGAAGAAACTTATGAAATCGTTTCCTTCGTTTTCAAAATCCCTAAAACTTATGGTTGTTTTGATCGCATTGATCTGCCATTTATCAGCATGCAGACTTTTTCAGCTATCTAAGAACAAGCGATAGATTCAATGGTTTTTGATTGCATTATAACACAGGTAGAATTTTTCGTACTGACGTATAAATTCTACAAAAATTCTTCATCAATATCCGTATCATTCACATTTGACTTTGATTAACATATCACAAGATAAATATATTAGTTTTTAGTTTCAGATTACAAAATTGTAATAATAATAATAATAATACGCAAGTAATCATATAGATCTCGTCACAAAGAATTTAAAAAGCATCTGACCACGTGACAACGACCAGCAATGATGTTGTATTTTTAAGTAAATAATCTCGTAAACATGATATATATATATATATATGTTAGCATTTATGTATGTATCTGACTTGTACTAGTATCTTTCATATGGCTACTTTAATTGTCTGCCATTTTTGTTTGAAAAGACGTGAGCGTATGTGTTGACTTCTTATGTGTCTTCAATCAACGGACACAACTACTCAAGAGATGAATCACTACTGGTTCGTTCGTATTTATTGATCAATATGTGACCGATCATCATTGAGAGAAGAAACATTTCAGAAAACCTACGAAACAAATACTCCACTGATAAATAGATTAAAATCTGTCAATACCAACCCTGCGAAGCACTTAGGTATATTAGGAGCCGTATAAATTGTAACTAAGGAACAAATTATAGAATTATAAAAGTTGTGTGTGGTGAAGAAATACAGCTAGAGCTAAATAAGAGTTAACAGATAGAGAAAACTTGCTATTGTCTTAGTCTGCTGCCCAATCAATATTCTATTGCATTTTAGTTCAACAGTTAATTAATGTTTTTTGACCGATGAAAAACGCGGCGATACTGAATAACAAAGTGTGATTTTATGAAATGACAGCTGAAAATCAGTTTGCTAAAGAATAATATTCTGTCAAAATACTTATGAAAATACATTTTTCATCGCCAAAGTCAAAAGATGGTATTTTATTGCTTGAGAAAGGTAAATAAATAGATATATTCTTTATTATTGTTGGAACTGAAAACGTTTCCAGTCAGCTTTTGTTTTGTGTCAGCTATTAACAAAAACCTTTTTTTAACCTGAGTAACATTATAGAGTTCTACGCAGTGAAATTTCACATTATTATAGCAGGGTTCAATCCTCATTTTTGACAATACAACAGAGTACTGTTCTTTTTCTAAAACATAATCTCAACCGGACTGCTACTATAAAACACGAAAAAGATCTATCCATTTTTGAGTACTTTCATTGAAGAAAAATGTTACTCTTGTAAGTAAAAATAAAAGTTTTAGTTCGTCATGATCAATTATTTTCAGTTTTCTTTCATAAAAAATTTATAAGTATTTCGTGTTGGTTTTTAGATGAAAAATCGGCTGTCATAGTAGTTTTAGTTGGAGAAAGCATATTCAAAGTAGCGTAAAATAAACTGTGATGAAGATCAGGTATATAATTAGAAAAAAAAGTGTTTATCATTGATAGAAATCGTGAAGATGATCGAATATGCAACAGAAAATTGTATAATATAGTATAGTGGATATTTACTGTGATATTTCGTATTGTTCCAATAACTGCATGGTTTTTTTAATATTCGTTCTACATTTATCAGAGTGAAGATCTGAGTAGTGTTTTTAAAAAATCCACTGTGATTTCATGACATAATTAATAATTATTTCATACTATTACTAATAATACATATTACCTTCTTTGAATAATACTTTACCACCGATTATGACTTTTCGCTAACGGATGAAGCTCCCCAGGTGTTGCCTCTTCAAAGTCAATTATACTTTGTCTCTTGATACCATGTGGTATCTTCATACGAAGCCTTAGAAAAATTGAGTCACTATCTCTTTCATCAATAGCTATGAATACTTTTATTTTACTTCTACAATGCGCCACATATACTATTTAAAAGAACCCTTCAGTCGATGAAAGTCTTAAGGTATTAGTTCACTAATTGCTTTTCAAGTATTGTTTTGATATTTATTATATTGACAAAATGTTTTTATTTTTGAGCTTTTTATCCTGGCAGGTAATTGAATTTCATTCTTCTAAAGAAAGATCTTAGAATTTTTTACTGTTTCAAGTAAAAATATTGAACTTGGTGAAAAAGAGCGAAAAGGAAAATAGCGAAAGAAAGACAAAGAAAACTTCCATATATGGATATTTTCTTTTCTTTTTTTTCGCTATTTTCCTTTTCGCTCTTTTCCACTAACACCAAAATATTCTTCTCTATCATCAATGATTATAGTTGTGTGTTTCTAGCCTTGATTTTTAGGGTGCTGAAGAGCTTTTTAATCGTTAGACAATAGCGCATTCTTTACACACTTCGGTTTTACTTATGCTACGGACAGTTTTCGTGCGTTCTTTCATTTGTAATCGCCTAATATATCTGACACATAAATAGAGTTTTGCTCAATTCCGCCTGTAAGACATATTTTGTATTTTTTCTATGGAATTTGAACGATTTCAAACCGTTTTCTATCATCCGATGGCATGTTTATTTTTAATCATAGCATGTACATTCGTATATATATATATATATATATATTTATACAGTCATTGATGTTTCATGGGATATGTGATGTAAATTATGTGACAATTTAAATTATTAATGTTTTTCTTTTTATCTATATTTTGATAAGGAATTTACATCTGAATCTAATCCAACTCATAAAAATTTTAAAATTATCACAATAATATTCATAATCATCGATGGCGTAGATGAATCTTTTTACATGATGCGGCGTTCTATTATTCTTTTTCAAAAGAGGATATCTAGACCCGTGAAAATTGTAAAAACCGAAAATTAAAATCTTTGTACACGTTACTCTCTAATTTGAAATGATAGCGAAAAGCAATACATATAAATGAAAAATTTAAAATTTTTAGGTGTTGAAGAACACGATAAAAAAAAATCTAAATCCTTTTACAGATTTAATCAAGACACTATTCTATTTATAAGATAAAAACAATTGAAATTGAGATATCCCAGCATTTGTAGAAGCACCTTCCTAAGAAATATGTAAAAATACTTGTAAATTTCTTTTAGTTATTACTATTGATATTGTCAAGAAACAATGGATGTGACTATTTTATGAATAGCGTTTGATAGAATGGAATCAGCGAATTGAGACTTCTACTTCTACTATTCATAAAAGAATTTTTTAGAGACACAAAATAATGCATTATTAGATCGGCTTACAATTCACCTGTAATATGAACTTTTGAAAAAGACTTTTCACAATACTCTTATAGAACAGTTTTTCATATCTTTTTCGCTCTTACTTATGATTAAAGATTCGATTGAATTATGCTACGTTAAGATTTTTTTCTTCTACTATTCATACCTTATTAATGATGCCAGATATTTTCTGAAAATGTTACTCATTGATTTTAAGTCATCTTAACGTGTGTCCAGCATACGCTTGATGAAGTACTTTGAATTCAGTGATGATACATGCTTTCGGTATCAAGCTAATACTAAGTAACGAGTAGTGAAATTTTTGAAACAATGCACGATAATACGCAAGAGTTAAAACTTCGAGTATCTAAAATTTTAAATTAATAATTTAAAATCACATTGAAACCGAAAAGAAAACTTATCATTGAACTCGATGTAGGTCATTTTCCTATCTTCAGTTGTCTTAAATTGATGTTACATTAGTTGGTTTAAATTCATCAGTCTTTGAAGAAACGTTGTAACTTTTGAACAGTACAGTCTGCATATTCTGGTTTTTTTTATTTTCAGTAAATATACATTTAATCAGCCAATTTTTAATTGTAAATAGAAAATACCACAGTTTGCTGTCTGACTTCGATCTTTAAGTACTGAGAAATGAGATCTATAGCAATTCAATTTCACTGATTAATTTTTTTCACACTAATGAACATAATCTTAGATATGATTTTTGTTGCTTTTTTGTTATAGTTAACACAGATAATTTAAAATGTTAATAAAGAAATCGCAGTTTTATAAGGAAGTATCATAACAGAAAATGTGATGAATATTTCAGCAAGCATGTTCTTCTTCGTTTTTGAGAAAAGACACACGAGTTTCAGTTTATCATTATCTATAACCCTAGAAAATCTTATGACGCACGCATACTAACTATTTGTTTCATCTCTTCTATTTCTCAGTCAAAAAGAAAGAGAACATAATATCTAGTGAATGCAAATGTTTATGGTTTACATTGGAAATGATGTTCTGTTCAACTAAATCTTAAGAAAATTTATCTATACAATGAAGTTAAACGAAGAATGTAAATATCAAATTATTATTCATAATAAATAGCTATTAAGTTCTACTACATCAATTTTGCATAACTTAGAACTATAGATGAGAATAGCTAATCAATAATAAAACGCCTATATCACTAAATTTTATTTTATTTTTTTATTTAGACTTTTAACAAAGCTTCAAATGCAGTGTGTAATATATTGTCGTAATCGAACAGTTTTATTGACATCGTTTACGTTATTCGTCTTACTATTTACATACGTCATTTATCCATGGTTTTATTATGCTTGGATTTGGCGAAATAGTGATATCAATCATCTTGATTTTCCAATAGCATCAAAATCAAATGATACTGTTGCTACTGTTCCACGTATAATACACCAAACGTGGCGCGACGCTGATAAAATACCAATCGATTGGCAACAAGCATCAAATAGTTGCAGATCATTTCATCCTAACTATCAGTACCGTTTATGGTCAGATAAAAGTGCTCGTCTTTTGATTGAAAAAGAATTCCCCTGTTTATTATCAACATTCGATGAGTATCCATATGATATTCAACGTGCCGATGTCATTCGTCTTGTTGTTTTATATGTTTATGGAGGAATTTATTTAGATTTAGATATTATTTGTCTAAAACCATTGGATAAATTACTGACATTTAAATTTATTTTACCAAAAACCATGCCGGTTGGTTTATCCAATGACTTTATACTAGCCGAGCCAAAAAGTCCATTTTTACTACAAGTTTTGAATGATTTACCCAAATATAATCGAAATTATTGGACTAAGTAAATTTTATTTCGTTAATTTATTAACGAAAAGAAAAAAAAACAATACTTATTCTTTTTCTAATTAAGATATTCAACTGTTATGTTTTCAACGGGGCCTATGTTTTTAACACATGAAGCATCATATTATCCAAATCGGTCTTCTATAAATGTTCTTTCTCAAGAACTTTACGGAAAATATATTTTTAATTCGTCACTTGCTCTGTTTCGACATTTGAAAGGTATGAAGACGACAAGAAAGAAAGAGACGATGATTACTTATAAAAGGATTTAATTTATATCGTTTAGCTTCGTCTTGGCACGGCAATGATGCTGCATTCGTCAAATGGATTTACCGTCGACGCACAATTTTGTTCCTAGTATTAACTGCTTTATTTGTGATTATCAATGCCATTATTTATTCTATTCAATATCGCCATACACTTAGGAATGTTCTTAAAAAAATTCCTTCACTCATAAAGTCAATATCAAATGGGCAATCTTTAAGATATGAAAAAATTCATTCGAACATTGTTCTTATTTAATTAGAATATTGTTTTTTTCTTCTGTTTTTAAAACCAATTTATTGTATTCGATAGATTGATGCTTAATATATTTTGTTATCCATATCATGATGATTGGATTTCGAAAGCAATAATTATTCATGATAAAATGATCATTTCTCAATTAGCAAAAGTACAGAGTAAACAGAGTACAATAAGTTTATTCCATCGTGTAAAAGCTTCCATACATCATTTCACGTTCTCTCGTTATTATGTGTTGTAAGACGTAGTTTTTTATATGAATTTGCTGAAATCAATATACGTAGCTTCTTTTACAGCTAGTATAATGCTTTGAGCTGACTAGCAGAAAAATTATATTTGATTGCAGAGATGGGCAATTCAGCGTTTTTTCGACTCAAGTCAAGTCACGTCAAGTCATAATCCATTCAAAAAAATCATCAAGTCATTTTTTGACTTGAAATGCCCATCTCTGTTTGATTGTTCGTTTCGAGTATTTTGTAATAAGCGAGAAGGAAAATAAAAGAGAGTCGAAGAGATTTACTGGCATCTATCCTATAAAATGCTGAAGTTTATACTTTAAGAATTTTCTAAGACTGAAATCGCTTTCTACACTCCCACTACTATTACCTACCACTATTGTTATATAAAGCAAACTAATGAAATCAATCAAGAATATAGTTAATACTTTAGGGGACAAAATTCACGTAAGCATTCCGTAATTATTCAAAAGGCAAATCAGTAGATGAGCTTCTTTTTTTTCTTTTTAGAAACTATTCAATGGTTCATTGGTTGAACACAATAAAGAAACAGAAAAAAAGTCGAGCAACACTGTGAACGAGCGTGGTGGTGCCAAAGATGACTACATGAAAGATAAATGAGATGAAGATAATCATGCTGCTTTCAAAAAGAAGTTCATAAATAGAAGACTACCCACTAATACACGTGCAAGTGCGCATAAACATTGATGTATACATGTTTCTATACATAGAAATATTTAATATCGCTCTTGTTTGCTTTGAGTTGTTGCTACTATGTTTTTATTGGAGTCTCCTTCTATTCACGAAATGGTCAAGATATTGTATTTGATTGCTTATAATTGGAGTTCATTTTTTAATTTAAAAAAATTATGAAAGTTGAATAAAAATACAAACTGAAGCTAAAAGCGTACTATTCACGAGCAACAATATTCAGCAATGAAGTAATTATTTATTTCATAAGATTTATTTTATAAATTTCGATATCACCGTATTGGTGTTAGTTCAAAAATGTAACGAGTATATTCGTGTCACGTATTCATCAGTGTGATCTAGTTGTGAACTAGTTTGTGTAAGTCACGAGCTTTAAATTACAAAAATCATTTATTTATGGCTTTTGACTATACTATATATTTATCATAAAAAGAAAATTCTTCACAATTAGTAAATGACTAGCAATACTTGTTGTTTTTCGTATTTTAGCCAATTATGACGTTAAATTCTAGCATGTTAAAATCATATTCAAATACTTCAACAAATGATAGTTATGGATAGAGAAATATTCATATAGAAAAGGAGTGCCATCAAATATTTTCCATACAATGACTAAGTATTCTAGAATACTCAAAAGCACTTCCGCCAGTATTTGAATCAATTAGAAATAACAAAAAATAACTTTTAAAAAATTATTTTTTTTTATGAAAAATGAATTCATCTGAATAATGTCCAACGCATTCGAATGATGTTTTTGTTTATTGATAAAACAGATTATTCCTACAGATACTTAATGTGATAATGAAGAATTTAAATATTTAATTTAATGCAGTATTTTTCAGTGTGTTTTTAATGATTGCGGAGAAATATTCAATAGCTAGCACTTCTATGGTTCTTATGTTTTACAATGATATCCTAGAAAAATGCAAGAAAAAGCTATATTTATAAGCTTTAGTTTTCATACGGTTTAATAGTGAATTATAAAAATTTCTCATGATGGCAACGTATTTCTGAACAAATAAAATATCAAAGACATCATTGGTCTACTGTGGAATAATACTCCCATATTCTGTCTATTAGAATATAATCTATATTTAGATATTATGCCATTTGATATGACGACATTAATGGCAAGTATTGATTACTACTCAATATAACGCATTTTTTGTTTATAAATTTCTTTCAAGGTCTATTCTCATCATATTTCTTTTCGTTTCATGCAACTAGAGATCATGTAACATTTGAGTTCTAATTCTGTACGTAAGATGAATCATATTATGTATGATCTATAGAAAATATCGAGTATTTCGATATAAGTTTGTGTTAGCATCATTAATTCATTCAAGTTGATGTTGCTTATTATGAAATATTAAAACTTCCATTAGTCATAATAACTATCGATTGTATGGAACGGCTAAGATCAATATGAACTGACTCTTTAAAACTAATCTATAAAATAGTGAAGTATATATATGGCATTGAAATGGCATGGATGCTCATGTATCCTTCCTCATAGGTTAGCTATGATTTTAGATACACTTATCAAATTTAATCAAGAGACAATCAAAATCATGTTTACTAGATAAATATTGAAACAATGAAAAGTATCGATATATAGTAGATGTGATCAACGCTTTACGTCAAGTATATATCTTCCATATTTTATGATGTACTAATATTATTAATTCTAGGTCATAGATATTTGCTAAAACGGAAAAAGCATTTCATAATTTTTATCAACATATGTTCTATTATTTCTATTCTCTTTCAATTAAAGTTTTGAATACAAATATCCTTTCAGATGGCCTACTGAGCATTCTATTAATTATATATATCTGAAACGTTCAGCTGCATATGCATTAAATTGATAGAATATTTCTTGATGTTACAAATTTATTAGAGCTGTCGACTTTTAGAGTCATATTTTTGTCACAGACGATTATTAATCATCATGGGTTTTAACCAGACGAAGTTTTAATACTCGTGATCTTCACATTAGTTTGAGCAGGTAAATTAAATGTCAATATTTTAAATTTAGTGTTCATTTTCCTCTTGCACGTTGCGCGTTGATAATGGAACGACATATTAAAACAAATTCACTATCATTTTCTCATCAAACGATGAGCACTGCTTTAATGTCATACTTCTGACGTTTTAGAATTTTGTTAGGGTATTATCAATAATTTCACTTTCGAGTCACGTTTTTTTCCACGATTTTTTATTATGGTTGAATCATGTATTTATCTTCCGTGCATATGAAATACTATCAATATATGCAACAATTTTTGGTATTCCCTCGAACATTAAACTGACTTGAATCAGATACAATCAAGTTACTGTCTGGAATTGTATGCCAATATCTGAATACTGTCTACACTCGTATTTTAACTCTGAAATTGATTTTATGATAATTTACTAATATTGTTGAACCTACCCAAGCAGACAAACTTTTTCAAAAACGTGTTTAAACACTCAATCGGGAACCGCGATTGTGGGTCATTAACGCTCATTAATAAGACGCAAGAAACGCGTTTTTACGCAGAATTCTCACTCTCCAAACGTGAAAACGAATAAAAACTCCAATTCCGAGCGTTTAACAGCACAATTATTCGATAAATTAAAAACCAATTCGTTCAAACGCTCGGAATTGGAGTTTTTATTCGTTTTCACGTTTGGAAAGTGAGAATTCTGCGTAAAAACGCGTTTCTTGCGTCTTATTAATGAGCGTTAATGACCCACAATCGCGGTTCCCGATTGAGTGTTTAAACAAGTTTTTGAAAACGTTTGTCTGCCTGGGTAGGCTTGATTGCATTTTCCTCTCAGTTATTCATTCATTTCAATGAGTCTATACTAGGCATCCAATCAATTTAAACTCAAAATGTTTAGATATTTTAGTACGGCTATCATAATCTCTCTCGGAGAGGAACTTATTAAGAAACAAATTAAAGGAGACCTCGAAAAACATTTCTCTTACAAAACATGTACTTTATTATTCACATAACAAATACGATAGTTGTTTATTAATATATGTACGTTAAAAATAAATAACTCAAACTATATTGTGTATTTAAAAGCGACTATATTTCGCAATACATTACAAGCGTTTTATTGAGTATATTGTTCAGAATAAAAATCTGATTATATAAAATAAAATTAGTCGAAACGGTATCAAAGGCGGTATAAAAATAAGATTAGTGGATTTAGTGAAGCTGTCACTTTATATTCTAACTGAGATGAGTGTAAAAGTTAATTTGATTGAAAAATTTCAAGCCATAGGCATAATCATCGATGTCAGTAGCAAAAGCAAACCAATTCAATAGCATTGCTGCTTTCGAGATATTTTTGTTGGAATTCAACAGAAATGATTTTTCGAATGCCATAAAAAAGCTTCTTTAGTTAGAACAAAATAGATTATTGTAACATATAATGATATGATTTTGGTTGTGTTAGGTAAATTTTCGAATGATTTTCCTTGATTATCAGTTCGTAATCTTCCCATGTAAAAATTTCAGCGAAAAAGCTGGCTTAATACAGCTTAAATTTTCGCTTAAACAGCACCTTTCAGCGCACATTTTTAAGGCACTAAAGGTGCTTAAGATCATAGACATCAGCGCTTTTAAGCACATAATTAATTAACCTTTTCAGCACTTTCCAGTGCACATTTTTAAGCGATATAAAATTCTTAGAATTATGATTTTAAGCGCTAATAAGCACTTTAAGCAGCACATTTCTTTTTGTTTGATCTCTGGTATATCCCTACATACTTCTACACGTCGCGTAGTACTTCTAACTAGTAATGCTCGTCTGGTTTCCTTGGCAGAATCAATGTCGGTAGACGAGGCTATCAAATATATAAGAACATTGTAGACGAGATCGAGGATCATATGCATGTGTATTTATTCTGTCAGTTGAAAAACCGATATAGATAGTAAAAATGGGAAATGGTATTCATATATTTACATATTTCTATAAGTCTCGATGTACTTCAACCTATTTCTAAAGTGTCGCTGGAAATTGCTATGTATTTTAAGTTCCAAAACACCTCCTAATCAATGACACCACTTTGGAAATAACCCATGTAATAAAAACCTCATGAAAATCGGCGGTTAACCGCGATTTTACCGGCCCGGTTACCGGCTCCCATTACCGTAGAACGGATAAATACCGCGGTTTACCGCAAAAATTGATCGGGTATTCGCAACATGGGAAGTTGAAGTACATCGAAACTTATAGAAATATGTAAATATATGAATACCATTTCCCACTTTTACTATCTATATCGGTTTTTCAACTGACAGAATAAATGCACATGCACATGATCCTCGACCTCTTCTGCAATGCTCTCATATATTTGATCGCCTCGTCTACCGACATTGATTCTACCAAGGAAACCAGACAGCATTACTAGTTAGAAGTACTATGAGACATGTAGAAGTATGTAGAGATATACCAAAAATATTAGAAAATAAAATACGTACTTATCATTGCTGCACAAAGATTGTTATTCTTTCTATTCTCGGTTCAAACTAACTTTTTGATGCCAACCAACATGACAATTGATAAAATCAATCATTTAAATTGAAAACCAATCATATAATATATCAAACGAATGATTTGTTGTCGTTTTCATACTGTACAAGAATATTTACTATCTGAAAAAGCTGCAACGAAAAGAAAACAGAGAGAATCTTGTTTAAAAAAAAGCAAAAGTTGCATACTGATTCGAACTACTTCGAATAAAATAAATGAAAATGAAAATGAAAATGAAGATAAAAATAAAAATAAAAATACCTGTACATTATACTCAAATTTGGTTCTACATAATGCCGTTGTGCCCATCGGTGTCATCATATTGATGTATCTAAAGAGAGAACCTTCTGTCTTTTGTCTTTCTTCACCGTACGATTTATAAAAATTTTCTTACAATACTGATACTTTGTAGTACAAATAGATCAAGTAGATCAAATAGTTTAGATTTTAAAAGCCAAATACTAAAATGGCTAGTGATCATAAAGATTTTTCCGCTTCTTTTTCATTATTTTTCTCTTCGACAGATGTCGTTATATTCAAGTACCCCTATATCGATTGATAACATTGAATATTTCATAGGAAAAATAGAGCAGAGAAAATATGTGAAAAAAAAGAAAAAAGTGAAATAGTTTTAGTCAAGTATTTTCTTTTATAGCTGACCTATTTGAATAAGCAACGTCATACTATGCTATGTTTAGATATTTATTTGTTTCTTGTAGACGAATAATTAAAAATAATTGTCTTGTTAAATTTATTGTTTCAGAACTAATTTATCGTTTACGTTCAGCTTCTTATTATCGTTTTGTTTCGTTTTCCGAATCAAATGGTGACACAGCAAGACAACGGCAGTACGAAGATTCAATACGTATTAGCAAAAACAAAAGATGTAGCCCTTCACATAATCAATTATAAAGATTTGATTTTTCATCGAAATAAAAACAAACTAAAAGTTCGTGATGACGTTTCTTTGAATGGAAAAACAAGATGTGATCGTGGTCGTGGTAAAATAATCGTTCTCGGTACGTTCGACCATTGTAAAATAAATATTGTTATAGATAGTTTATAATTCTACATGAGAAAATTTAGTCGATCGAAATGCAATCGTTTTACAAATATTTAATTAAAATCACTAAAACATTTAATTATGATCTTATTGTTGTCTTCATATAATAGGTACAAAGGACCAATGTGAAGCAACAAAAACTGTTATTGAAGAAACATTGCCATGATCTAAATCTTCATCAACTCTTCGATCATCATCATCAACAACTCTTCCATCATCATCATCATCGTCAACATCATTGTCTGTACCATCGGCAGCTGTTGTACGAAAATGTGCAACTAAAAGATTAGCGATTGATGATAATGATTCGTGTGATTCATCAAGTACGAAACGTAAAGTCGTTCATGTTGGTGGTGATAAATCTAAAAATATACCACATGCTAATGTTTCAATTGTTGTGCCTATCATCTCATTAACAATATTGTTTGTAACTACAACATCTTCTGTTCCGGAAGTAGCCAACACAGCACGCATTCTGAAGGATGTCGATTGTTCGTCGGATTCAAACTCAGAAAAACAGTTAGTTATTGATGAACAAATTGTTGATGATTGTGATGATGATGATGTACAAACTGGTAATAATAAAATTTTTCAAGCACACTTCATACTAGAGACAATTGACAGTGGAATATTAATGGTTAACTTTTTACTTTAATTCAAAGTCGGAAAAAGCTTTTCTAGGTCAAAATGAATCAAGCTAAGTGTATAAGCTGGTTTCATCAGTTTTAGCTCAAAACTTAGTCAGGCTTCTATTGTGTTGGATTGAACTTATACTTAAACTATCATGAAGCTTATCGCGGGTAATGGCCGGAAGTAAAAATATATTTCGCTCGGATATCCTTAAGATTTCAACAGGTTACGGTTAGAACTCTTGATAATGGATTATGGTTGTATAATTCTATATGGATTTTGGTCATTTTCACAATCTTTATCAAAACCTTATCAAACTTGATAGAACCGACGATCTTGGCATAAAATTTCATGGAATATCATATGTAACTTGTTGACCCTAGTTTTTTCGTTTGAATGGCAATTCTCTAGATTTTCAAAGATTTTTTTATGGGAAAGTGATAACAGATTGTTTTCAAATACCTCAAGACGAAGATTATGCCGGAGAATTTCTGCAACACTGCTTTAGAAAGACGCTAGAAGATGCCACAAACTTTACCGGAATGCTGGAAACATGGCACAGACTATTTTGCCATCATAGGGATCTAAATTTCTTGGTTGTTTATGCATTTTTGAAAGGAATGTACATACTATGCTTATTCACTGGATTATTACTTTCCAACTACTAGCAATGATCGACACTTTGTATTATTACCTGTCATAACTCATAAATCTTGGAGATAAATTGAATACTGAAATTAGCATTTCTTCTTTATAATTGATATCAATTTGCGATTTTACTTTGCCAATTCTAGGATTTATCACTCGGTCAACAAAAAGCACAACTCTGCATGCCCCCGAGATAATGAACAATTTGCTGTATTTAAGAAGTGCTTGTTTTCAGCTCGGTGATCCTATTATGCATTCTGGTCTGCGAGATTTTCTTTTGAATTTGATAAACAATTGTCATTCTGCTGAACAATCATCATCTCTTATCAAACCACGACACTCATTGCGTATTACTGATCCAAGGATTTCTGAATTATTTTCATGTACTACTAAGTTCTATTCAATAGTTTGCATTGGCCGAGTTCGATTTACTGCAAGCAATTATTGTCGGGACAAGCATGTGGATGATTCAACTATACTTTATCGAGCTGACAATGAGATCCATTTCGGACGGATTCATCGCATAGTCACAGTTGATGGTGGAGATATACTTCTTCAAATATTTTCACTTGCATCTAGTTTTTATTTTGACTGTGACACTGATGATGAGCAATATGAGTACGAAGCCATTGAGATGGGCATGACTTCTTCTGGTACAACTACTTGTATCATCAAAGCAAATCAAATCATCGAGAAGTGTGTGTTTTATCTACAATCCAACAACTACGCAACTTTTATTCGATTTCAAAATTTGGTGGAATCATCGTAATAAAATCATAATAATTTTCTCACTATCATCATACACAAATAAAAAACTGTTTTACGCATTGATATATTATTACCATATTTAAAGTACTTTGTAAAATGTTGAACATGAAAAGAGATCTCAGTAAGATTTGTTGAGAAGCGTTTTACGAGCAGAATTTTCTGAAAAAAGCTATTTTAAGTCGCTTAAAAATAGCTTACAATGGGAAATTTTTTTACATGGGATGATTGCTTCTTAATTGAAAAGTGACTGCAATTTGAAAACACAATAAAAATGAGACAATAAAATTTCCATTGCTCTACGCTGCAGTCATTTTTCACTAATTGGCTTACATCCCCCCCCCCCACGCAATTAATGCATAGCCGATTAGCCTGGTGTGCTTTACTAACAGAATGACTTCAAAGCGTGTAGCACGAGCAAAGGTAAAGTTATAGAATTACAATAAAAAAATGCGGATGGAAAGAAAAAAAGTAAGGTCAATATACCAGATAAAGATGCGATAACGTTTTATGTATGTACATTCATGTATGTGTATGACAGATGTTCGTGAATCTGACCATCACGAATGGTAATGAATGAAATCCTCACAATTTTTTTGTAGTTCCTCAAAAATCACAGATATAACATCAAAGTAACTTTCTAAAAGATATGAACAGTAATTTTGAATACAACTTAGATTATCGATGTAAGGTGCACTCAGAGCAAAAGTCGAGCAAAATTTTTTTCACTCTTATATTGTACATGGTTGGATAGAACTTGACGAGCTGATCACAAATATCACCTTGAAATTGTTTTTTTGAGTAATTTTTACCTGAAAAAAGTTCAGAATACTAAAAAACTTGAATAAATAAAAAAAATGACTATCTCAGCTTTTTAAGGAAAAATCGAGTTTTTGCTTATTTTAAGTAACGATAAACTTTTGAAACTCTTTCATTCGTATTTAACATTAAGAATTCAGTAAAAGTGTTTAGATTTATAGCTATTTCATCATTCATATCTAGTTTTGCATTGAGTTCACAGTGAAACTTTGGACAAAAAAATCACCTGAACATTATACTTCCTCCCTAGTATTTCTAACTTTGATACATTTTGAAAAGCAGGATGCTGGGAAAGTAGATTTCGTAGTTCAGCTAACCAGATTGAAGGATGAACAGGCACCTTCAGTTCTTTCGCCATTTCACGCAAACCTTTAGTCTGTCCACGATACTTGCCTGAAGTAAAACGACAGGATACAATGATGAGTTTACCTGAATCCTCAACATATTTTATAGAATCTACCGGACACTTCATATCTAATCCTTTCTTGAAATTATTAATGCTATACTCACGCATTGAATGGGCCATTAGGATGTTAAAGAAAGAAGTCGCTGATCATATGTGAACACCCACGACCTTTTGAGTAAAAACGAGTATAACCGTGTACTGCCCATCTTTTGACTGACACGTCTCCGCGCTTAAAAGTGAACTCATTATGAACTAAAGAAAAAAAGAAATTTGTTTTAATTTTAAAATAAAAAATCATGCTCTATTTACAGATAAGGATAGTAGGATTGCTTGGCGGATTTTTCCATACTGCTTGACTCTCATCACTTATCTTGTAATAAAAAAAATTTCTTTAGAAGAAAATAAGAAATGAATTCTTGGCGATGAGTGACTACGTCCTGCCTTTCATTACCTTCAAAATACGGACTTTGGATATTTGGTTGAAATTGGGCTCCCAAACGAAGAAGATCTATACGACAACTGTCTTCAGATCGCACTAAAACATCATTGAGTTTTTCCGTCTGTGTTATTTCGTAGAATTTTGCATGAACATAGTTCGCAAAATCAGTGCCTGTGAAGTCAGTTGATTTACGTGAGCAAGATTCGATAGTGAAAACTTTTGCATCTGTTTCTAGTTTTGGAAATATATTATAGAATATTTCATGATGGTTACCATTACCACCTCGACCTTCATCCTAAAATACTTCTATATCACTTGACATGAAAACATCAGTTCATTTATGTGCATTTTCACAACGATATGCACCAATACCTGTTAGAAGTTCGTCGATCTGACTCCAAATCAAGACCAACATGACGAAGAATAGTATAAACGAGAACTGATAGCTTACGAGGCCTGCACACACTGTACATAAAAAACGTATATTAATATACTCTTAAAGGCAAGGGGGAAAGTGCAGGTTTGGAACCCCCAGCACCTCAGCACCTTTTCAGCACCTTCAGCACCTTTTCTATAGTGAGATTTACTTCAGTGGTATGGAAATAAATCGGGAAAACTACCTTCATTTTCAATAGTAGAGGTGAATTTGTTTTTGAATTATTCACTGAATCTGAATGAGAATTATTTCAGACTAAAAAAGCCAGCAGAAAAAGAAAAACATCCTTCGAAAGTAATCGTATATCAAATTGCAAAATGATATATCAAAAAGTTTGATCCTTCTTTTATTAGTGTGACAACTAACAATACGCTCTGATTATTTTTCAGAAGTTTACTTTTCATTTTATCACCATTTCATTTGTGCAGCTTCTGCTTTCTCTGAGTTATCAAAAAAAAACATTGTACGAAATCTCATACTCCTTGGTAAAAAAAGCCTGCACATAATTTTATTAGCTTGAAAATCATCATTGAATTCTGATTATTTTCCAATTTTATTTTGTATTTCATGAAAAATCAATTTTTAACACCTGGAGCCCCCCTCAAGGGTCGAGAAACCTTTTCTTTGCTGGTTTTAATATAGATAGTTATATTTCCATAAAGTTAAGCTTTCTGATTACAATTATTGTCTCAGTTTTGAATTTCATTGAACAATAAGAAAGATATGAAGCACTCTCTCAGAGCGTTAAAAACAATTTCTGACCTGAAGACCCATGAATATTCGATTTATACTGTTTGAAAATAGGTCTGTTAAATGTACAATGTTTTTCTCTGTCAGAATATATAAGAACGACCTAGATATTCAATCTTTTTTCTCTCGATAAATTTTAAATACCAGCCCCGATCGGGTCATACAGGTACAAATACTGCTTTTCTCAGTCTTATGAAGCATAGTTTTTCGAGGTGTACCAGTAAGATTNTTTGTTTTATCGATAAATACTAAATACCACTCCGATTGCGTCATGCAGTCAGAAATAATGCTATTCTCAGTCTTATGAAGTGTAGCTTTTCGAAGTTTAACAGAAAGATTGTCTTACCAGATACGTATTTAAATTTGCTCTTGCTAGTGAAAAAGTTTTCAACTTAAAACTCGATGTAATGTAAAGCGTTTTCGCTGCAATACTAGTGTTGGAATCGAATTTCTGTCATTGCTTGCCTGATACTTGATAGTTTCAAACAGAATAATTCCTACGCGACTGAATATAAATATTATATTTGTTTTAAGCACAAAATCTAATTCGATTTAATTATTTCTACAAATTTTGTTTTCGGTCAGATTTTTACGTCTGGTCCCGTTCAGGCTCATCTGAAAACAAAATATTTTATTCAAAACAACTGTTTGATTGATTATTAATTGATCTACTTTATCTCAAACATCATTCCCAAAGTTTGGAAACTATTCACATTGTCCACATGGTTTTTGTGGTAAGTTTGTTTTTCGTTATCCATGACGGGGACCAGGGGTGAAAATCTGACCGAAAAAAAATGTTGTAAAAAAAATGAAACAGGATTAGATTTTGTGCTTAAAACAAAAATAATATTTATATTCAGTCGCATAGGAATTATTCTGTTTGAAACTATCAAGTATCAGGCAAGCAATGGCAGAAATTCGATTCCAACACTAGTATTGGAGCGAAAACGCTTTACATTACATCGAGTTTTAAGTTGAAAACTCTTTCATTAGAAAGAGCACATTTAAATACGTATCTGGTAAGACAATCTTTCTGGTGAACTTCGAAAGGCTACACTTTATGAAATTGAGAATAGTATTATTTCTAACTGCATGACGCAATCGGGGCGGTATTTAGTATTTATCGATAAAACAAAATTTGAATATCTAAGCCGTTCTTATATACTCTGATAGGCAAAAACATTCTGTATCGAAGTGGTCTATTTTCAAACAGTATAAAACGAATATTCGTGGACCTTTGAGCCAATAGCTGTTTTTAAGTCTTCCCGAGAGTGCTTCAGATCTTTCTTAGTATCCAATGAATTTTAAAATCTAAGATGATATTTGTGATCAGGAAACTTAACTTTATCGAAATATAACTACTCGCACTAAAATTAGAATGAAACTTTTTTTCGATCCTTGAGAGTTAGGTACCCCGGATGTTAAAAACTGATTTTTCATAAAATACACAGTAAACTCCTGGAAAATAATCGTAATTCAATGATGACTCTTAAGTTAATAACATTAAGTGCAGGTTTTTTAGTGTTCAGGTTTCTAATTTGGCACGCCTCTGATTTGATTATGGAATTAGTGTATTCAACAAGATTGTGGAAAAACAATGAGTTTAGCAGAGAATTAACTCATCATGTCGTATACTACTCCTTTATTTTTCTATAGCTTTTCGGCAACTACTAACACCTTTAGCATCTTTCAGCACCGTCAGCACTTTATAATAAATTTTGGTGCTTGGAGCCAGCACTTCCCCCCTGCTTAAAGGGTTTATGATACGTTGCACTTTCATAAACCCTTTAAATGGTATATTAATTTTGTCCCATACGCCTAAAAGGGTTTATCACTTTTTTTCCATACCAAAAAAGCTTTTTTTTACAATTCTCATTCAGACAAGCGCCTTAAAAAAGCGTTAACAATCTTTCAGAAAAAAGAATCCAAAAACAAATGAGTATTTTTCGTTTGTGTTTACAATGCAGCTCACAACGTATTTTTTGTAATCTACTACCAGATTAAAATGAAGGTTTTGGAACTTACTGCGTTGTCCTAGGTTCAATCATGAGATTAATTGGTTGATAGTTTAAGATGTTATCCATTCGGTCAGTCGTACGATAACAAGATGAAGTAAGAAATGCTACTTAAATCGAACGAAATTTTATACGAAAC